AGCGGGGGGGCCGTGGCCCCTCAGATGAAGTGGCACTCGCATCTGTACCATTTCTGCTGTCGAAGCAATCGTGCTGCCACACACCAATTTGGAAACTACATCTCCCAATCGCGTCGGAACGTCGTCGCCATTGGTAAGAGAAACAACTCTGGCACACATCACGGGGGATGCCGCCGACAGGGTCAACACACATCGCCGACGTGCACGCACAGCATCATTTCGCAACGCAACAAGCCCGCAAGCAAAACTAATATGCCTGAAATGATTCAAACAGGCTGGTGGCCCGTGAGAAGAGTAGCGGGCGAAGGTCGCTTTTCCATAGACTTTTCCACCATCGGTAACGCCTGGGGCGGCCGGAAAGTGTACACCCCCTCTTGCCGCCGTAGGGGTGTAAACTTTCCAGCCACCCTGGGACAGGCGCCACCGTCGGCGGGACAAATTATATTATGCCGCTTGTCGCGCGCTGAAAATAGACAAGACGCGCGGAACGACCGCGCCAAAGCATCGTATCAAAACCCCCGCGTGCGCCAACAATGTGGCTCGCTTCTCCTCCCAGCGGGGACGTGCAGTGGCCCTCTTTGCTCCAGGGTGGGAGGAAGGCCCAAGATGACCGCAGGGAAAAAGGGGGTGAGCTTGAGATTGCCGTGGGCGGGGGGCGGTCATCCCATCGCACGCGCCGACAGGGTCTGTGGGGTCACAGGTCATTCCCCCGCCCCCCGGAGGGACAAAAAAGACGCTGACACTGCAGGCTGGAGGGGCAGGGTAAGGACAGGTGGGCGGGCAGCTGCTCTGCCGATGCCGTCCCCGTCCGCCTACCTGCGTTGTCGGCGGAGAGACACCGTGCCACCGTCGATCTCCGAGCGGCATGGGACGCAGGGAGTCATACCAGTACTACGCGTCCTCCTCTGAGGCGCGCGTCCGACCCGAACCATATAGTATACCCATCCTGTAGTAGATCGTTTCCCGAGCGGTGTGGCCAGAAAGCGCCCGCCCCGACGCATATACTATAAGATTCCTCGGTGCGCGCGCCGCCCTTGGGTGGGGCGACGCACACCTAGTATTAGGTCGGGCGTGTCCCCCTACAGGCGGATTTTGGACGAAATGAACAATTACCCCAACAATTCTCAACAAAATGAACAAATAAAAAATCGCCCCAGACTATTATTTGACTATTTTGGAACATTCCTCCTGTAGAGGGAGAGGCCCGACTCAATATTAGTATGTTGGGGTGCCGCCGACAGCACGCGAACTGCATCCCCGTGAGGCGATCACCCCGCGCGGGCCTCCTTCTGTGCGCACCGTCCCCCTGCTGGGGCTCCCTCGGTGCACGCTGCTTGAGCAGGGACCGACCGTCCCGGCATTCCTGTGGGCCTACCACGACATGTTCTTAGAATGATGCTGCCCCCATTAAACTTAAGGACCACATCCCAGAAATCCGCCGACTCTGTCGGCGTGTGCGAGGGGCTTGGCTGTTCGAGTCGTCGTCTCCGTCGGTCGTCGCCTCCGTCGTCTTCTTTCCCTGCAGCTTCCTTCTCAAGCTCGTGAGCGAGAGAAAAATCTAGCAGTGTCGTAATCGAGTCGAAGGGAAGCCCCTTTCCATTGATCCCTTCCCCAGAGGGGGAGGGGGGGGGGTCCCGGGGGGGGTCCCGGGGGGGGTCCCAGGAGGGGTCCCGGGGGGGGATGGGGGGGCAGATTCGTTTTTTCTCGGGCGGCCTAGAAACCTCGAAAACACTCCAAATGAAGTCCGAATGCCCAAGATGGCCCCCGAGACGGCCCAAGAGGGCCCCGAGTCGCCCAAAGATCGGCCGAAAACGCCCAAGATAGCCCCAAGACCGTCCAAGAAGCCTCCAAGACGTCCCAGGCCCACTCCAAGAGACCCCCAGGAAGCCCCAAGAGGCCCCCACGAGGCTTCCAAGCGGCCCCTAAAAGCTTCCCAAGAGACCCACAAACTACCCCCAAGAGGCCCTCAAGAGCGCTCGTCGTCGTTGTCGTCGTCGTCGTCGTCGTCGCCATTCAGGGTCGGCGGCACCGGCCGTAAGGCCTTCGCAATAAGTTCGAGCACCCAGAAGAAAAGTATCGAAACAGTGTCGAGCGAGTATCGCCTCCCAGGGCCCGACGCGTGAAAACCCTCCAGTTTCGGTGCTGTCGTGGCGCTCGTGATCATTTCTGTTGATCCAGGCGCTGGTGATCCAGGATCTGAGAACCGAAGGATGTTCTGGCAAAAACCATGGGCTTAGAACATACGCCCTACGCACTGAAACAAGACAGTCTGAGCCACAAACATAATGAGGAGGAGGAGGAGGAGGAGGAGGAGGACGGGGAGGAGAGGAGGAGGAGGAGGAGGAGGAGGAGGAGAAGGAGGAAGAGGATGAAGGAGGGGGAAGTGAGCTGGAGGAGCTTCTTTGCAGGTCTTGAGAAGCGACGGACTCTCGCGCATGGGCACACGCGCGCTTCGCCGCACGCGCCGGGATCGGCACCTCTCGCTCTCGGTCCCCGGCTCCGAGAAAAAGTCGTGCGGACCACAAACGCTTTTCTTAACACATGAGGAGGAGGAGGAGGAGGAGGAGGAGGAGGAGGAGGAGGAGGAGGAGGAGAAGGGGAGGAGGTAGAGGAGGAGGAGGAGGAAGGAAGGAGGAGGAGGAGAGGAGGAGGAGGAGGAGTAGGAGGAGGGGGAGGAGGAGGGAAGGAGGAGGGAGGGGAGGGAGGGAGGGAGGGAGGGAGGAGGGAGGGGAGGAGGGAGGAGGGGAGGAGGAGGGAGGAGAGGAGGAGGAGAGAGGAGGGAGGGGAGGAGAGGAGGAGGAGGAGGAGGAGGAGGAGGAGGAGGAGAGGAGGAGGAGGAGGAGGAGGAGGAGGAGGAGGGGTGAAGGGGAGGAAGGAGGAGGAAGATGAGAGGAGGAGGAGGAGGAGGAGGAGGAGGAGGAGAGGAGGAGGAGGAGGGGAGGAGGAGGGAGAGGAGGGCGGGCGTAGGAGGAGGAGGGGAGGAGGAGGAGGACGAGGACAAGCTAGGTGCGCTCGCGTCATATCTGACATCCTACCCCTCCCCCCCATCCCTTACCATGGCGCAGATCCCCTCTCTACTCGCACAGTCGGATGTCAAGCACGGCGATGATCCCGAAAGGGCACGCGATGCGTTGTAGAGCACGGCGTGGCATGGCGTAGAAGAGCACCGCGAAGCGTAGTATCAACCTAGCATGGCATTGCATGCCGTGGCAAGGCATGGGAAATGACGCCAGCGCTGCAGCGGGAGCACGAGTCGAACGAGCGGAAGCGCGGAAATGAGGCCAACGCTGCAGCGGGAGCACGATTCGGAACGAGCGGAAGCACGGAAATGAGGCCAGCGCTGCAGCGAGAGCACGATTCGGAACGAGCGGGGCCCGAAAATGAGGCCGGCGCCTCAGCGAGAGGCATTTTGGGAAAAATTGCAGGCGAAAACCGAACTCCAGGGAAGACTTCCCAGGCGCCAGAAGCAGAAATTCAGCATTTTCAAAAAGAAAAAATTGTATTAGAATTGCCTTTTTTCGGCGCCGCCTCGGCACTCGATTTTCAGGCGCCGGCCGGAACTGGCTCCGGACCCGGCCCGGGCGCCAGCCTGGGCGCCGGCTCGAGCGTCCGGCCCGGGCGCCGACTCGGGCGCCGGCCTGGGCGTCGGAATCGGCCCGTGAGGCCTCCCGGGCGCTCGATTTTCTGGCGCCGGCCGGAACCGGCTCCGCGGACCCGGCCCGAGCGCCGGCCCCGGCGCCAGCTCGGGCGTGCAGCCCGGGCGGCGGCGGAAATGATGCCAGCGCTGCAGCGGGAGCACGATTCGGAAGGAGCGGGGCCCGAAAATGAGGCCGGAGCCTCAGCGAGAGCAGCATTTTGGAAAAAAATGCAGGCGAAAACCCAACTCCGGGGAAACCTGTGTAAAAAAGCAGTACGCGGGGGGGGGCGAATATTCCCAAGACTTTATCAGGGGAAGAGGGAGAGTAGTATTCATATTGAGTAATTGTGGAGGAGGAGGAGGAGGAGGAGGAGGCCCATCGGCAAGCCGGGACGCTTCGCCGCCGCTCGAGCTGCCCCCCCCGGGGTGGCGCACCGCGCGTGGCAGGCGGGCCCCCGCGGTGCCGCGGCGCACGCCCGTCTCCTCCCAGCGCCGACCGCACGGGGCGCGGCAGCCCCTCCCGTCATCCTCGAGGAGGCCCGAGAGGATCGGCGGCGCGCCCCGGGCTTGCCATCGCTCGGACCTTCATTCCCTGTGCAGTTTTCGGTTGCGTGCGTAATTTTGCTTGCTCTCCTGTGCCCTGTCTCCCTAATGAAAGCTGTGCGTAGCCCGCCTAGCTTTTAGCGGAAGAGGTTCGCTCTCGCCCCGCAGACCCCCCCCAAAAAAAGTGTTTTTGGTTGCTCGATGCTCCAGGACGCTCCTCCAGGGTCCCTCGCCGGGAAAACAACGCACACGTCCGAGCGATGCCGGGGGGAAGTCCGACGGGGGGCAGGCCCTCTCGGAGGGCTCGGCAGGCCTCGGGCCTCGGCTCGGAGGGCACCGAGATGGCCCAGGGATCTCGGGATTGACTTATCACACTGCGAATGGCTTTGCGGCCCCAGAGTGCCTGTGAACGGCCTCTGGAGGCAGATGCTCACGAAAAAACCGGCCGTGTTGCGATTTTTGTCCCAGCGACGCCCGCGTCCGAGGGGAGGCCGCAGCAGGGCCCCAGCTTCGAGCCCACGAGACCAGGGGGTGATGGAAGCTGGAGGCGGCTGGGGGGTCCGAGCTGGTGACCGGCTCGGGCCCCCAGGGGCCCAGCCGGGTGGGGCCCCGAGAGCATCGGCCAAGAGGGGGGGGTGCAGGCAAGCTATGCTGAGTATCGTTTCACCGATCCCCATCCCCACCTGCGTGGGCTGGGCCCCACTGGCCGATCTACCCCCCTAGAAAGGGGATATAGGTCGTAATTCCTTCGGGTGTCGAGGGGTGTATCTCCAGGACAGGGAGGATGGAAGAAGGGTCCGTCGTCGTCGTCGCAAGCGGCCTCCGCCTCCGCGAGCGCCCAGCAGACCAGCTTCAGCGCCAGCAGGTAGAAGGGGCACTCGCAGCGGCGCGCGTGCCTGCCAAGGCGGGGGGCAGTTTTCGCGGCCTCGACGACGTCAGGCGCCTCGAATAAATCGCAACGGAGATGCTGTTTTGAGTACTCGTCCCCTCCTCGGGGCCCCTCACACTGGTTTCCGGGACCCCCAACAACACGGCTCGGGATGAGCAGCCCGCCCCGACCCCGTCTCGGCAAAACCTGGCCGCAGAAGGTCCGGGACCCCCGAGGAGGCGCGGGCGGCCGGGGCCAGGCCCCGGCGCGGCTCGAGCCGGGGCCGGCCGGGAGCGTGGAGAGGGAAGGGTCCGCAAGGGGAAGTCCGGGTCCGAGAGGGACACCTCGGCCCGGAGTCGGCGATGCCTCGGCGACAGGTCGGCGATGGGCCGTTCGCGAAGCAGCGCGCTCCTGGGCGGGGTGGGGTGCGGGCCATCGGGCCCCTGGGGCGATTGGGGCGACTCGGGGTCGACGCGTCTCCCCGAGCCCATCGCCCCCCCCCCCACCCTCGAGGGTTTCCCCTGAGAAATGAGCAGGGGCCGGCGATGAGTGGGCGACTGGAGGTCGACGCGTCCCCCTATGAGCCCCCCCCCACCCTCGAGCGTTGCCCCTGAGAACCGAGCGGGGGCCGAACGTCCTGGCACTCCGAGGCCTACCACGGGAACGAGAGAGAGAGAGAGAGAGGCCGTGCACGTCAAAAGCGCATTGGCGCAACTGTGAAGAAAAAAAAGTGGCGCGGTTGTGGAACCATGGGGCGCCGCGCAAAACACGGCGACAACCCATGAGCACGGAATGTCTAAAGCATCTCTTCCACTCAGGCTTTTAAAATTCCCCTGGGACTCTTGAAAACAACGCCACAATACACCTTTGCCGAGTAATTCGCAGAAAAGGTGGGGAGAAGGGGGCAGAAGGAAAGGAACATATGGAGGGAGATATGATCAACGAAGAAACACGCTCACGCATTGCAGCTGAAACGTCTGGTCATTGAGCGCCACTCTACTCCAGCCGAATCACTGCCCCCACAATGCGTTTAGTTGTTGTCTGCCGCTGGCCGCACTCCATGCGAGCGCGCGTACCTTGGTCTTCCAAATGTTGCGCGGCGCGTCCCTCCACTGAGCTTTTGTCGGGCGTTGGCAGAACTGGGTTTGATGGGACCTGGTTTAGTGATGTGTACTACGGGACGCCACCCCCGCCCGTTCCACTAACCGGAACTGCTGCTACCCGAGAAAACACCAGCTACGGCAGATCTGGTTTAGTGATTCTGGCAAATTTAGGGGCTCCAGAGCCCTACTACTGACCGGTCCCCTCCCGACTTTGGCAGCGCGATATCAAAAGAGCCGTGGCGGAACAAGCATCCTCGTATCGGGTGTCGCTCGGCCTGCGGGCGATCTGGCCCAGCAGGAGCTGGTCGCTCGCCCGGCCGTGAGTCCAGAACTGAACTTCCGACCCCGCAAGGTAAGCCACAATACCGCGACGTGTCTGACGCGGCTGCTGTAGGAATGACCGATACCTGGCAATCCGCCGTAGACAACGGGCTTGGAATGCACCGAATGTGTTGCACTCTGCGCTGTCTAGCCAGAGCGTGTGCATGCAGTGAGACACTGCGCGAACAAAAGTCAATATCGCCACGTTCTCGCGCAACGTCGCCCAGGCATGCTTCTATACTTTACATTCTGCTTCAAAGCCAGCAATTGCCATGCCGAGCCGGCGGATCGGTTTTGGAGTCATGTTGTAGTATCGTTACCTTTCGTCCGCAAAATTTGCCGCCTCTCTTAAATGCTTCTCCCTATTGGTTCGGTCGGCGCTGTTGTCGGCGAGCTTCTTCTCTGTTTGTTGGAGCTCATTCTTCAGCTTTTCAATCGAAAGTGGACGTTGGATGCGGTCGTTGGCGTTGGCCTTCCTGGTGGTCTCCTCCAGCTCCTCCTCGGTCCTGTGAAGCGCCCCTGCTTGCGCATTTGCACGTGCTCGCGGTGCGATGCCATCTTCTCGGTTGTGTGCTTAGCGTCCTGGATCTCGCTCAGAAGCTCGTTGAGATACCCTTGCGCCCTCGATGCGTCTAAGTGCTGGCCACGCTGTTGTAGTTGGGCTTATCTTCTGCCCTTCGGAGGTGGTTCGTTAGGCCATGGATGTCGTTGTTGGCGTTGGTCAATGTTTCTGGATGTCGTAGGCCCTGCGTTGGTTGTTTTCCTTGAGGTTCAAGGAACACGTGTCGACTTGTTGTAATATCCCCGGCTCTTAGTTGTCTCTTTGGCGCTGGGGTGGACATCTTCTTTGGTAGCATGTCACGCGGGGGTTGGTCGGCCTCGTCGTCGGCAGCCTCGATGTCGCTGTAACGATCGACCTCGGCGTTGTTATGTCCCGTTGGAGAATGGTGAGCTCCTTGATATGGCTGTCTAGCTCGCTCATGAAAACCTATATATATGTGTGTATATATATGTGTATGGTCGCCCCCCCCCTGTGATCATACATCTCCGTCTTCCGTGTTCGCTGTCTCCCTCTCTCCTTCTCTCTCGCTCTATCCCTCTCTCTCTCTCTTTCGTTTTGTTGTTCTCTCTTTGCGTTTGTCTCTCGCGCTCTCTGTGATTGCCTGTGATTATGTTTTCCAGCTGTTCCAGCTTTTCCCAGAGACTACCCTGGTGAAAAACAATGTGTGTTCCAGCTGTTCCAACTTTTCCCAGAGACTACCCTGGTGAAAAACCTTGTGTTTTCCAGCTTTTCCAGCTTTTCCAGCTTTTCCCAGAGACTACCCTGGTGAAAAAGCATGTGTTTTCCAGTTTTTTCCAGCTTTTCCCAGAGACTACCCTGGTGAAAAACATTGTGTTTTCCAGCTTTTCCAGCTTTTCCCAGAGACTACCCTGGTGAAAAAGCATGTGTATTCCAGCTTTTCCAGCTTTTCCAGCTTTTCCAAGAGACTACCCTGGTGAAAAAAGCATGTGTTTTCCAGCTTTTCCAGCTTTTCCCAGAGACTACCCTGGTGAAAAACCATGTGTTTTCCAGCTTTTCCAGCTTTTCCAGTTTTTCCCAGAGACTACCCTGGTGAAAAACCGTATGTTTTCCAGCTTTTCCAGCTTTTCCAGCTTTTCCCAGAGACTACCCTGTGTTTTCCAGCTTTTCCAGCTTTTCCCAAGCACTGCCCTGGTGAAAACGCTGTGTGTTTCCAGCTTTTCCAGCTTTTCCAGTTTTTCCCAGAGACTACCCTGGTGAAAAACCATGTGTTTTCCAGCTTTTCCAGCTGTTCCAGCTCTTCCGCCAATTCGTCACCAAGGTAGTCTCTAGGAAAAGCTGGAAAAGCTGGAAAAGCTGGAAAACACATGGTTTTTCACCAGGGTAGTCTCTGGGAAAAGCTGGACAACATAAGGTTTTTCACCAGGGTAGTCTCTGGGAAAAGCTGGAAAAGCTGGAAAAGCTGGAATACACATGGTTTTTCACCCGAGTAGTCTCTGGGAAAAACTGGAAAAGCTGGAAAAGCTGGAAAACACACGGTGTTTCACCAGGGTAGTCTCTAGGAAAAACTGGAAAAGCTGGAAAAGCTGGAAAACACATGCTTTTTCACCAGTGTAGTCTCTGGGAAAAGCTGGAAAAGCTGGAAAAGCTGGAAAACACAATGTTTTTCATCAGAGTAGTCTCTGGGAAAAGCTGGAATAGCTGGAAACACAATGGTTTTCACCAGGGTAATCTCTGGGAGTAGCTGGAAAAGCTGGAACAGCTGGAAAACACAATGTTTTCGCTAAGGATACCTCTGGGGGTAGCTGGAGCAGCTGGAAGCTTGACAGATCTCCGTGGGTTGCCTCCTTTGTGCGGCTTTCCAGTAGAATCCCTTTGTGGTGCTTTCCAAAGGATTCCTTTTGTGAGGCTTTCCAATAGGATTCCTTTGTGGTGCTTTCCAAAGGATTCCTTGTGTGAAGCTTTCCATTCGGATTCCTGTGTGATGCTTTCCAAAGGATTCCTTTTGTGAGGCTTTCCTATAGAATCCCTTTGTGTGCTTTCCAAAAGATTCCCTCTGTGAGGCTTTCTAATAGAATCCCTTTGTGTGCTTTCCAAAGGATTCCTTTTTGTGAGGCTTTCCAATAGAATCCCTCTGTGGTGTTTTCGAAAGGATTCCTTTTGTGAGGCTTTCCAATAGAATCCCTTTGTGATGCAGAGGAGGAGGAGGAGGAGGAGGAGGAGAGAGAAAGATAAAAAATATTCAAGACGGGATGTATGATCTTGAGGAGGAGGGGGAGAAGGAGGAGGAAGAGGAGGAGGAGGAGGAGGAAAAGGAGGAGGAGGAAGAGGAGGAAAGGAGGAGGAGGAGGAGGACAGGGATGAGAGAGGAGGACGAGGAGGAGGAGGACGAGGATGGGGAGAAGGATGATTAGGATGAGGAGAAAGAAGGCCACATGTATGATCACAGGGGGGGGGGCGAGCATAAATATATATATATATATATACACACGTAGCACCCCGCAATTGCGGATAAGAGTGAGGGGGCGGGCGCGGGCGACGCGGGCGTCGAGCCGGCGGACCTCGTGGCCCTCACCTTCCCTGTCGATGGCGCCCTGCTCCTCCTCCTCCTCCTCGTCCTCCTGCTCCTCCTCCTACTCATCCTTCTCCTCCTCTTCCTCGTCCGCGTCCTCGTCCTCATCGAGGTCGTCGTCGTACGCCTCCTCCGTTCTGGGCTTGTTCAGTGAACGTAGTAGTTGGGTCGCGGGTGGGTCGCGGGCTCTCCACCTCCACCTGGAAGGAATTCAAAAACAGCCCGCCGCAGGCGCCGAACATTTTGATGTGTGCACTGGACGCGGTTTGGGTCGCAGGTTCTCCACCTGGAGCGAATGCAAAAGAAACCCGCCGCAGGCGCCGAAGTTTTGGCTTGTTCAGTGAACGTAGTTTGGGTCGCAGGTGGGTCGCGGGCTCTCCACCTCCACATGGGAGGAATTCAAAAACAGCCCGCTGCAGGCGCCGAAATGCTTGATTTGTGCACTCAGCGCGGTTTGGGTCGCAGGTTCTCCACCTGGTACGAATGCAAAAGAAACCCGCCGCAGGCGCCGA